TGTATTACACGAACACGATTATATATATATATATATATATATATATATATGCTGCTCTTTTTAACTTTCTATTCATCAATGAGTCCTGAAAAAAGTAGGCCTACCACAAAAATATGAAACAGCACAACTGTTTTCAACACTGCAACATTGATAATAATAATAATAATAAAATAAATGTTTGATCTTTGATCACAGAAATAAATTACATTTTAAAACAAATAGAAAAAAAGTTATTTTACAGTTACAGTATTTTTTATTTATTTTTTAAATATTTTTTTTATTTGATTAAATAAAATACTTAAAAACAATCTAACAATCTAAAAAAAAAACCTAATCCAAACATTCTGAGATTTATTTACTATCAATTGTTCAGTCTAGACAGCAATTAGAATACATAGTCTAATTAGAGTAAATGGACAATATAAAAAATATTTTTTAATTTCAGTGTTTCAAACAGTGATCAGTTTTGCCAACATGAGTCAGAGATCTCAATATAAACTTTTTCATCAAAGTCTCTCAAGATCAAATAATCGATGTTAATTTTATATCTCTAAACTCATACTGGTGTCTCACTTGTTACTCCACTGACACACATCTGAGCGTCTCTTCTGGGACTATGATAAAGGTGTGTGTGTTTGTGTGTGTTGACTGAGCGGCTGTTATTTGTCTCAGTTGGTGGAGCGGCTGTGTGTTCCTCACCTCTCTCCGTCTGCTGTGGAGCCACGGGGCGTCAGAGAGGAGCAGATGAGCAAAGGAGATGATTCACCCAGCAATCTGCTGCTATTACAGCTAATTGGTTTGGGAAGTGTCTCTCAGCCACAGATCCGGATTTAATTAGGGGGGATATCGAAAACGAGCCCCATTGCAGCACGGAAAGGGGAAGAGATGGCATCTGCTCCAAATGATCTTAACCCATGAACTCTATCAGGTCTCATTTGAGTAAAAACGTATGCTTTTGTGTGCATATATGTAGATATTGGTATTAAAAAAAGTAAGAAAATAATTATCTGCAGTGAATGATACTAAAATAACACTGGTTCTCAGTAGGTACCATCTCCAAATACGTATTAACACTAAAGAAGAAGTAATTAGGATATTAACAAGATCTGACTTGTGATTTTTTTTTTTTGTACCTTTTTGGAAACATCGTTGTTTCCTCTTTGGTTCTCCATGGTTTTACTCTGAAAAGCCTTTAAGGAGTTGACGGAGGAATTGGCTCGATTTCGGCTCAGTGCTGCCGGTGTTCTGCTCAACTCCTTCAAAACACTGTAGGTCCTCTGAGTCTGGAACAGCACAGAAGATAAGATTCACTGTCAAACAATCAGTCTCAAGATAGAATGTATGTTTTTGTTACTGTATCATTGAATGGGCCATTTAAAAATATTGATTATAAAACGGATCGTTCCGGTCCTTGATTCTGATTGGTTGAGTCACATTCGAAGCTGTTGTAAATTACTCTACAAACATACACCTTTGTCTGTTGCTCGGCAACCACTTTGTTGCAACCACAGCTGTTTCTGAGGAACTACATTGTTTGGTGGAAGAATACTGTTTTTATTAATATCATTACACTTTATTTGCTCTGTTTTATTTTGTGAAACCGTACTACGTATATGGAATAACCGTTTTATAAAAGCAGTAAGTCCCGTGAAGCCGTGGTTTACAGTGCATTTATAACAGCTAAGGGGCGTTAAATTCACTGTAAACCACGGCTTCTTGGGGCTTATTGCTTTATCAAAGTACTATTCATTTTTTATGGTGTCAAACTAGTCAAGTCACATTTGCAGTATTTATATACACAATACTGATGGTTTCAAAGCAGCTTCACATTAATAAACAAGAAAATCACAGTGTTATTAATACAAAATCTATTATGAAACGAAATTACATTTCAGCTGTAAAGCAGCTCTACAGAAGTCAATAGTGTCATTATTCAGCTCAATTCAGGTCAATAACCACATCAAGTGTTGCAAAGTAAGTGCCATTATCCAGCTCAGTTTAGTTCAAATCTTGTTTCCATCCAATAGTGTCAGTGCAGTTAAATCGGTAATGTTATTGATTGAATATTAATTGTCTTTTAAACCCCAACTGAGCAAGACAGAGGCAACAATGGCAAGAAGCCAAATTTAAAATTAATTTAATTTTATCAGACTTAAAATGATACTGGAGACATTAGCTTCAAATGATTTTCTTAATCAATACTATTTTTATCTTATTTTCCAGTACGAATATCTAAACATTATTAAATCAAGGTACATTTACTTGAGATGTTGCGAAGTAAAATTACTTAGCATATTATGCATCTTTCTTTTAAAAATGTGAGCGTTTAAAGTTATTTTTAAAGGTAAATTGAATTAAAGTTATTTTTCTAACCCTGTGAGCAGATATTTTTCTTGTTTTAAACACAAACTTAATTTTCATTTTTTAAAACAAGACTTAATATCTTGAGTCATTTTATATAATAAAATATTTTTCTGCATTGATCTGAAAGTGTCAGTTTAATTCAGTGGTGTCAGACCGTTCTGTCATCTCTGATCTTCATTTGAAGCATGATCCATTTCATGTGGATGTGACTCATATTCACTCACCTTATTCAGCAGATCAGACTCATAAAAGGGGTAGATTCGGTACACCCCGTGTATACGCTGCACTCCAGGGTACAACAACGGCACCAGATCCATGTAAACCACTCCGTGGAATGAGATCTGTACCTCATCCTCCCCCTGCAACACACAAAAGCAATATTTGTGGTTTATCAATAGGCAAGCACAATAATGGAATCTAAATTAATTGCTGTCTTGTTTTGGGTTTTGAGTGCCATCTTAACAGAATAGTTCACCCAAAAATTAACATTTGCTGAGAATTTACTCACTCTCAGGCCATTCAAGCTGCAGATGAATTTAATCAGATTTGGAGAAATGTAGCATTACATCACTTGCTCACCAATGGATCCTCTGCAGTGAATGGGTGCTGTCAGAATGAGAGTCCAAACAGCTGATAGAAGTAACAAAGAGTACAAAACAAGGGCATAGTTTTGGTTTGAACATTGGGGGTGTGAACTGTTTTAGTAGAGTCCCGGGTCATGCTCACTCATAAGGTTTATTTATTTGATTGTTTGCTTATATATTTATTTTTGTAAAATGGTCTTTTGTGCTATAATCTATGCAAAGTTTGTTGATAACATAACTGCAATAAAGTTACATCATAGTTAACAATTACTTGTTTACATAGGAGATATATAAATATATATATATATATA